ATAAATTTTTTAAAAAATTAAGAGTAAAAACATTTAAAAATTATATTATTTTAATAAAATATGATAGAAAAGATCGATATAGCGTCCTTACTATTTTAAAAATTAGTTTTTTTTATAAGTTAATTAACCGTTGCTCGGGAGTGATAATAAGATCATGAGTAAGCCTAATGGAGTACACGATCTATTCTCCATTAAGGTTGAACGTTGAATATACCTAAAATTTGTGAGTATCTAACTAATTATTTGGATAGGTATTTATTTTGTCTGTTGAGTAAACTTAGAATGACATTATAAAAGTCTGCGGCATGGCATTAACATACATCACCTCTCCGTGACTTCTATTATTTTGATTGCCGCATTCCATGCAATACACATAGGATTCGTTTGAGAGTGTTAGTTTACCACTATAATCTTTAGTTTTTTAATTTTTTTTATAATTTTTTAATATTTTAAAAATATATAAAATATATTTAATATTTATTTTTAATAATATTTTATATATTTTTTAAAATTATAAAAATATATAAAAATTAAAGATTAAAATAGCGAGAGGAGTGTGAAACGAAAGTCATATTCTATCAAGCTTTTCCCGTTCTAATTTGATGATGATCATGATAATCAGCCCTCTTCATCAAGAGTAAACATTTAGAAACTTCCGCGTGGAGTCCACATGGGGCCACGCCAAATCCAATGGCGATCTTCCCCCACACGGAATTTCGTCATTCGTCGTTCATCTGTTGCATTTGAAAATTCCACAACCCACTGAACTTGGGTTAAGCCCGCTGACTCTAACTTCTCCAATTCACAGGTACTTTCTCTTGAATCTCTTCCATCCTTATTCCTCTCATCCTCTCATTTCATATTCTCCTGAACCTTTAATATGATGATTTCTGTCTGGGTCGGTTGTGCTCTTCCTGATCTTTACCTGTTTTGACCTCAAATTTCTATGCACTATTACTCATAAAACCCAAAAAAGCGAAGGAAAAGCTCTTTTCTTGGCGGAAACTTTTTTTTCTTTTTTCTTTTGTAAGTTCTTCCTATAACCTTATCTTGTTAATATCTTTCTTTGATTCAAGATGATGTATTTCTCTGCTTGGGTCTTCTTATTCTTCTTCTTTTTTTACCTGTTTTGATCTCAAGTAGTACTATCTTAAACCTAGGAACCCTAAGAGGGAAGAGACGCTTTTCTTGGAGGAACCCATTTTCTTCTCTTTTGTAAGTTCCTCTAATAGCTTTATCATGTTTCTTTGATTCAAGATGGTGCATTTCTTAGCCTGTGGCTTTTGTATTCTTTTTCTTTTTTACCTGTTTTGATCTCAAATTGTACTATTTTAAACCCAGGAAACCCTAAAAGCCAAAAAAAGAGGAACCCATTTTCTTGGAGGTTTTCTTGTAAATTCTTCTTAAAACTTTATCCTGTTTCTTTGATTCAAAACGATGCATAGCTACCTGGGTTTGTTGTATTTTTCTCTCTTCAGCTCCATTGATCTAAAAATTCTACTAGCTTAAACCCTAGAAAGGAACTTGTACCCTTTGAGTTTTGTCACACTTACTATTTCTTTGTGTTTTTGGTACAATTTTTCTTATGTTTTTGGTGCGGCGGGAGGTCCAGAACCACCATGGTAGTTGATGAAGCGCTGCCTATTTTGGGTCGCGTTTGGGTTTGGTGGCGCGATTCTCTTGCGCCTGAGGCTCGAGTGGCTGGAAAAGGATAGGGAGCGGGGGATATAGTTGTCCGAGGAAAGAAATTCGGGCATACACCAGACAAACCGTCTTGATTTCAGTTTTTGTTATTCATTGCCTTTCAGAGTTAAGGGTTTTTGTGTGTTTAAGGATCATCGGGAGAGTGATGACGTTTTTTTTTTTTTTTTGAGTTGGTGCCGTGGTCCAGCGCCACCATGATGGTTACCGGTAGCCGCTTGTTCTGGGCATCGTCGCGAGAGTCGCGCGAGACTAACGGGAGGTGGGAGTCTCTGGAAAAGGAGAGGGAGGGGATGGATGGTTGTCGGAGGAAAGAAACTTGGCTTCCGGAGAAGTTGTCATGAATCCAATTTCTGTTATTACCTTTTTAGTCAGTGATTGTGTTGAACGATCAAAGCCCCAATTCATGGTTTTGTGCCGAATTTTGTGCTTATCTTTTATTTTGTTTTATTTATTTATTTTCCCTTTTTGATGAAATACACTAAGGAACTAATCAGTTTGGTGCGAATGGTGGTTGTTGGAGCGCCGCCTGTTTTGGTTGGCGTCTGGGTTCCGTGGCGCGATAGATCGGGGAGGTGGAATCCTTGGAAAAGGAAAAGTTCCTCCTGTGTTTCATCATTTTGGGCAACGTCTTGATTCCAATTTCTGTTATTGCCTGTTTAGATTTTGAAGGATTAGGAAAAGTGTGTTAATGAGAGGGCTTCCCAAATTCAAAGTCTTGTACCAGAATTTTGCGCTTAATCTTTATACAGTTTATATTTTGGAATATGAAACCCACACTTGGGAACTTTAATTGCATCAAAAAGCTTGTTTGGGTATATGTACTTGCATTTGCAGTTTATTAACACTAATCTTCTACGCAATTGCATTTTCAGATTACAAGGTGAATATCACAAGGAACATATATATTACCTAGACAACATATTACCCAGACAGGGAAACCGGTTCTCCCTCAGTTTGACAAGGTAATCAACTAATCATGTTAGGAATTATTTTTAGGGCAGGGTTGCAACACACACACATATATATATATATATATGTTGAGACAGATTTTGAAATTGAGATTTAGATCAATATATTAACAATGACTTTACATTGAATCAAATATATAAGTTTAAAATGCATGTATATGTATAGGACCTCAGAGTCACTCATAATCTACTTCTGTCTTTAGCTTGACACATGTAAGTTGCAAGGGTACATGTGTTCCAGTATATACACTTCCCATTTACATGGGAGGAAAGAAAACAATAATAAATAAAGTACCTGCACAAAACTAGCGTTGGTCTTGGCCCAGCCCGTATAGGTCAAATTTTCTTCTTTTTTTGTTTTTTTATTTGGTAAGTTAAACAAATCATTAAAACCACATTAGAGTTGAAAATATCACATAACCTACCCAACCACAACTGAAACCAAAAATCGAGACCTTCTTTAGGTCACACAGCACATTAATGAAACACCAACCCTGCTTCCTTAGCACTTGATCTCCTTCAATGCATGGCCAAACTAAAAAAATGTTGGATCGGTAGCACCATCCTTGCAGTAAGCTAACACCATACAGCCACAAAAAATTGAAGGTCACTGAGCTTTGAAATCAGGAATTTTACTGCTGGCTCAATGTTCTTCTTGAAGTTCTCTTGATTTTCACCCTCCAACTTATCTGTCAACGTCTTGACAAACTTCTTAACATAGCCCATGAACTCCTTCTTTTGAAAAGGAGGTTGCTCCTGAAGCCTGAAGGTATCAAAAATGTCACCCACCTTCACAGCCTGGTCATCAACACCCTCATCCTCCTCGCCACCTTTGGCCGAGGGATTTTCAAAAGCGATTAAATGGTTGTATTTTCATGGCGTAGTATTTCTTATACTCCTAGAATAATAATAATTCTCTTTGATTTTGCTGATAAAAAAAAAAAAAGGAAAAAAACTTTCAAAAGCAATTACTGATAATGAACTCGCATTACAATGGGATTCATGGTAGGAAATTTTTCACCATGAGTATAGTGCAGAAGGTATTCAGCAGAGAAAGGGGCTCGAAAAGGTCCAGTATAATGTACCCGGAGATAACAGTACCCAGAATGGATTTTTTTAAATCAATCAACCATTCATCAGAAGAAGATGAAGAAGATGCAGGAGAAGAAGAAGAAGAAGAAGAGGAAGAAGAAGAAGAAGAAGATGCAGAAGAAGATGCAGAAGGAGTCGAAGAAGCAGAAGAAGCAAGGGCCGCAGAAGGTATTAGCTGCATAGCTTTCAGTCCAACTGGGGCATTCTTAGTTTCTGGATCGCACTTTTTTACTTTATGGAATATGAACACTTTCGAAGGGGAAACAATATCCTTCCAAGCGGGGACTCAAATACCAATAACGCAAGTTACTGTTATGACTGATGAGAAGAAGATACTGTTTTCTCTTTCAAACGGCGAGGTAATTAGTTTTCACAACATAAACACTTGCTTGATTGAATAAAGATGCTGATATTACTCCCTTTTCAGGTCTTAGTTGCACATATCAACGACAATGGTGAAGTTGGAATAACAAAAGTGGGAAGTCATGTCAGAGCTGTCAGCGGCCTTATCAGAGACATTGGCAATCCGCATCTGGGTTATTCATGTGGGAAAGATGGATTTATAAAAAGTTTTGATATCCGTAGCCCTGGTCTTACCAGTCTCCTAAAGTGTCAAAGATTTGAAAATAACCCATCACTCAGCCTAAAATTGAATGGCATCTTGCAGAATCCTGACAATCCTCAATGCATTACTGTCTGTGGAGATGATGCATGCACCAGAGTTTACGATCTCAGGCAGTTGAAAGAAGGTCCGAAATGTCTTTACTTGCCACGTGATCTTGCTAACAGAAGTACTGCTTGCATTAAAGGCATAGCATATTCAAACAAGGGGCAACTATTGGCTTCTTACAACAACCAAAAGATTTATATGTTCCAACAGGAAATGGGATCTTTTCCATTATATATTAGTGAAGCTCAAGTTTATCAGGGGCACACGGATGATGACCAGATAGATAGACATGACATAACTTTCTTTGGTTCTAAAGATGAGTACATTGCCTCTGAATCAGCATGTGGAAGGATTTTCTTTTGGAATAAAAGAGAGCCCAATAGGGTTAGTCGCATCGGGAGTGACTTACCCCCTGTAAGGTGCATGACAAGGCATCCTCACCCCCAATGTCCCATACTCGCTACTGGTGGAGTGGATCAACTTGTTTGTCTCTGGGCTCCTAAGCTGCTGATAAATTAAGCCGAATTGAAGATGGTGTGTATATCAAGGCAACCCAATCCATCTTCCTCTGCTGCATACTGGTATATATGGCAATTTTGACCCTGGGGTCTTAAACAGTATAGGAACAGTACTTTTTTTTATTTTCTTTTTGAAAATAGTAAATATGTTGATTCATCTGGACAAAACATTGCACTACATGAAATTTTTTGTTTTTTGAAAATATGCAATATATCAAAACTATAAGTGAGGGTGGCAATCGGATATCATCCTGTACTATTGCTGAAGCATCCCAAGTCGGTCATGCGTTCTCAGTTTCATGCGGCAAGAAAATGATAAACATGAACAATACTTTTACTTTTATCATTAAAGCAAAGGTGATCCATAGTTTTATCATTGAGGACAAGGTAACCCAAAGGTTAGAGAATTTCAGAAAATGTATCAGGCTAACCAATGCTTTGGCTTCGGGCACTTTCTGTGCAGTAAATGCGAGCCAAGACTTGGACTTTTCTTTGTCCAACTTAGTTTCGTTCACCAGGTCAACTGTGGTTGGAATCATAGTGCATGATGTGGAGAGCACAACCCTGCCATAATAGATAGCATAAGAAGGGGCATTGCCCCTAACCATTGAGAAGTAAACATCACCAAGCATTGCTGTAGCGTCCAAAACTTGATCATAGTGTGGAAAGTGTTGCTCGTGCGAGGAATATACTTGATCCCAACATCAGCCATTCGCTTCCAGATGGCTGACCTGAGATCCGCTACAACCGTCTGCAATTCCTCTGCACCGGTCTTGCTATCCCAGAAAGACTCTCCGAGGCAAACTTGAGCTCTCTCTGGGGCCCCAACCCTGGGTAGGTAGCCAACAATATGGGACGCCATTGCTCCGCTTTTATACACTACACGCACCAATCAATCAACTGAGCAGATTTAGGTTAAGTTATGATACGAACAGGAAGCAACAACTAGCATTCCGAATCGAAAACCAAAGAATCTATTGAAAAACCACAACAATGAATCCAAACTCAAAAACATAGTATCCAAAGCTTTTTCAGCTCAGATCTTAACAAACTTGAAATAAAAAATCTACATTCAACTACTATAAATGAAGAACAGCTAAATTTTTTTTTATAATAACTTTCGATATTCGGTAATCACGTTGAAAACGAAATTGAGTGGGGTCAAACTTCATTAGAGAGTAAATTCTCCTAATGCCTATTTCTTCATTTACAAAACTCGAATTCGAGATATTATTAAAAAAAAATCGAGTTCATTCCACTTGAATCACACCTTATTGGTAGCTAAAATCTTTTATTATGATAAATAAAATTGTACTATTTCGAAAAACATATATTATTTATAGTCATTCAATCAAATTTCCATTTAAAGCATTTAATACTATTATAACTTACCGATAAAATCATTAAGAAATTAAAAAATCTACTCTATAGTCTAACTCTTTTGTCTTTGCGTTAACGTACTGTTTCAATTTCCTCTTTCCTTTTGCACGTTTGTATATGATTTACCGGCATATTTTTTTCTAGACTCATGCCGAGAGCAATGTGCCCAAAAATACATTTAATTTTGTTTTTTTAAAATATATAATTATTGATTAAAAACTTGAGAAAAGTTTTCAAAGATATTAGGGGCAAAAAGAATAAATAGGGAATGCCAGAAGAGCAAACTATGGTAATTTATGCCAAAGTTATATAAAGGGAAATGTTCCAATTATTTAGATTTTGTTTAGGATGATTGTCATTATTTTTTTTATTTTAATTTCAAAACATTTTGTAACTACTAGAAATTGAAAACTAAAACTTTGATCAAGGAAAATTTAATTTACAATTGATAACTAAAATTATAAATATGTTCAATAATACTATTAAAATTATTTCTGTTATTATTTTTTAATAATATAATAATATGTTAATTCTTGAATAAAAGTAAATTAATTTTTTTTGTTTGTTTAGAATTACAAAATTTATTGAAATCAAAATTAAAAAAAAAAAAAAAAACATATACTAAATAGTCTCATTTTAGCAAGCAATTGCTCTCTTGGCTAAAAAAATAAAGTCTCATTTCATCAAGCAATTGTTCTCTTGGCTAAGAAATAAAATTCAAGCGATATCTTCTAGCATCGAATTTGTATGAATTTACTAAAAATAAAATGAATAATATCATGCCAAATAGAAGACATTAAAAAAATGCTATATTATTTCTGGAAACGGAAGGATATTTATATTCTATGCAATTACCTTTGGTTCTTAATAAAAAAAATAAAAACAGAATAATTGAGTAAATTATATTGATTTTAAAATTTTTTAATGGTGTTAATGATAAATTAACAAATATACGTTAACAAAAAAAAAAAAATCGATTCCGTTAAATGTATTATTGAAAGTGGATATAAAGAATATAGATGACTAATTTTTCAAAAAAATTAGATTAAATTAGATTTTGCTTGCAATAAAAAATTATCATAGATTTTTTTTACCTATTTCTAATTAAATTATCAAGAGATTTTATTTACCATTAAATCCATATAATTTTTTTCTCCATAATCATGTTAATGGAAAATTGTCAAAAAATAAAATGAAATGGAATGAGTACTTTTTTTTTTCTGCCAACAATATAAATGTTTAAATATTTGATTTTAATTTTAAATTAAAAATTTTAAATTAATGGATACTAATTCTACGAGTTGTTATTAGTGAAATGAAACAAACATTAATTAGTCATTAAATGTACCACACGCTTCACTATCTGAAGCTCACGTCTAATTATTTGAATGTTCTTCTTATCTTCTTGAGATCATTGAAAATTAACTGTCTTTTTTGTTTCTTTTTTCCTTTTTTAAGATCGAAAGCTAAAAATTAATGCCAAAGTCCGGATAAAGCCTATGCGAGCCGGGAGCCGGCGGTTCTGGGAAAATTGATGTCCCAGTGACAACATTATGATCTAGAGAAGCCATGAAATCTGCAGCAGAGTTCCCCTCCCTTGAAGTATGTAAGACCAGGGATTGAGAGAAAGCATCCAGCAGAGCAAAGTTGTCAGCGAGGAGGACAGAGGCAGCTCCAAAAATTTCCTTTCTTCCCTGAATCAGTTGACCTGCAAGCAAGGAGTCCATTTCTAGAAGTAACCTGTCAATCCCAAGAGAGTGTGCCAGTTTTAAACCGTCATGGCAGCCCCATAATTCAGCATGAAGCTGGTTATGGTTTCATATGGAAGTAAAAAAACCCAGATATCTAATTCCTCAGAGAAAACACTAATTTTACATAAAAAGAAACACTAATTTTTATATAAAAATATGAGTTTATATAAAATAATAATAAATGTGATAATGTAACATTGATATAACATCAAAAGTAGTTTTTTTTATTAAAATACAAATATAGAGACAATCTTTTTGTACAATATTTTTATGTTAGATGGATGATGGATTTTAATTGAATGAAAAGAGGTTGTGCAAAAAAAAAGAAAGTTGTTTGTAAATCATTTTCCTTCCATTATATATGCTCTAAAGTTGATTAAAAGAGAGAATTTCGAATAATGCTGTGAATTATGATAGATGGGGAACAAGCCAGCAAGGTGGTGGATCAACGTTGCTGGTAACGTTAGACAGCAAGGTGGTGGATCAACGTACGTTTATTAATAAATATTATTTTTTACTGTTCAAAAAAAAAAAACCGTTGCTGGTGACGCTACCAATTTCATAGATTTCTTGAATGCTTCCATCTTCCATACTGTATATATATTCCCGTATCATGGCCTCCAATGGTTTCATTTCCATAAATTCTTCGAGACCACCTATCATCAGTGAAATAAACTGAATTTGCCTTGTAAGTCGAAGAATCTTAAGTGGAAATAATTGCAGACTCATTATTTCCTCCCAAAAACAAGGAGTAATCACCCAAAGATTCGACCTTCATCCACTTTTGTCTGTCAAAAATCCAGCTTATAAACTTGAAATAGCTTCGTTTTGTACGGTATCTGAATATCAGCCGGTCTAAGTTCCATATACCTTCGAGCTAGCAGAATTTCCCCATGCAATTCAACCAAGTAAAGCTTTTCCCTAATTGGATATCTATTCGGATTTGTTTTCAGATTTCTTATTTGATTTCTTGTGTCCCTCAATGAAGATTTATTTCTACAGATAACCAGCTCTGATTTTCAATATTTTTTTTTTCAGGATGAGGACCGTCAAAGTCCCAAATGTCAATAGAAGCCGAAATACTCAGCGCGAAGAGTCCATAGCACATAGTATCTGCATATGACTTATTGGCATCAAGTTGGGTCCATGGACCTTGTCCGCACGTTTCTGAAATATGCAATCCTTCGATTTAAACCATGGATGTTATAGATCAAAATCACAAGACTGTAATTGTTGTTGCCACTGGGATTGGGTTCTCCAGTTAGAATAGCTTTTCCCATGAGATCTTGTGGGGGGATGTCGTTCGTATCCCAATAATCATTTCTTCTGAGATAATCATCTGGTTCCACCCAGAAAGAACGATCTAGTTGAGGAAATTGGATTGTTGCTAGCGTGAATGGATTCAAAAGGTAGACAACTGATCTTCCGTCCGCCACAATCAGCCATCCGTGGGATGATCCAATATGGAGATGACGGCCAAGAGTAGATGACGGCCAAGAGTAGATGACGGTAGGCTGCTCTTCAAACCCTGTTCGCGTCAAGATTCATGATACGTGGAGAGGCATTGGTGCCACCTCCGTTAGATTCTTCTCAGGGAAGCACAAGCCACGGGATTTTGAAGTGGCACAAGTCGGAGTTGGAGGAAAGGAGTGCTTGAGCGGTTGATTTCCAGGAAGAACAAACAGCTTTGGCTCGAAGAATTTCAATCAAAGGAAGCCGTTTCAAGATTGACTCTAAGATATCCTCAGTTATTTTTTCAAACCGTTTCTTTCTTTCCAGCACCATTCTCTCCATACCTGTTAAGCAGAGATCTAACGAAAGAAAAAAAAAAAATCAGATGAAAAGTCTAGACGAGAACAAATTCTAAATTTTTGCTGAGAAGGAAAAAAATAGATCGAAGTTCTGATATACAAATTCTAAAAGCTGTAGTGCATAATCTACCATGTACATGAGACTTAGATCGTTCCCCCACCATTTAACTTTTATAGAGTTACAAATCCCCTGGCTCCTATTTATAAGGTTAGGGTTTTTTTTTTCTAAAGTTAGGGTTTTCTCTAAGAAAGAGGAGCTAGGGTTTTCATTTTTTTAATCTGTTTGTTCTCCACCCTCTTTCCTTGAGTCTGGGCTTGTTATCGGCCCACCTTCATCTTTTTTAGGCAGGATTTCAGAAAGGATGATGAATGACTGAGAATACCCTAAGGGCCCAATGGGTCCAAGTCCAACCATCTCCAAAGTCCATATGCGGCCTACGGGCATTTATAAATAAGCCATGAAAAATCGGATCACGTGATCGTTGTCCGATACTCACCGCTGAACGTCATTTCAAATTTCCCATTCAGATTTCAGTTTCCTGTCGAAAATTCCCCAAACTCTCTACACACTCTTTTCGCTTCCCTTAATTTTGCTACGGTTGGCGATTACACCATCAGAAGCAGAGCGAAGAAGAAATGGAGGACGATCTCTTCCTGATAGAGATTTCCGGCGCCGACGATTCCTTCCTGCAGAACAACGCCGACGACGCTCCTTCCTATTTCTCTTGCTCCCCATTCCACTTCCCCAGATCTAAGCCGCCTCTTCCAAATGAAATTGGTTAGATTCTTCTGTTCTTCCTTTTTTTTTCATCTTTTAATTTGATTTAATCCGTTATTGTTACTTCATTGGCTCCGATTCAGATCCTTGGGTTTAATATTATTGATTTTT